ACGACGTCATATATCAACTAATAAAATCCGCTCGGCAATGTAAGCCACCTTAAAAGTAAAAAAAAAAAAAAAAAATATACTAGAAATATTGAACAAGTCACAAAGTAGCTTTTAGTATATCAAAAAATAGCAGAACAAAGATGCAGTATAGTTACATAAACAATAATTATAGCAAGAAATTGTGCTATTTATATTATTTAAGGAGTAGATTAGGAAATTTATTTTATGATATAAAAAAAGTGTATTGATTGATGAAAATAGATTGTTTTAGAATGGTAAATAGTGTATTTTTGTTAAAATATAAAGCATTTATTATATACTTTTGATTATTTAGGACTTGTTAAAATTATTATTATTATTTAAATGAATATATTATTTAAAATTATTATTTCTAGATAATTATATAAATTACTAATATTTTTATTTTTAATTGTTATATTGATATTTCTTTTCCCAATGAAAAGCTTGAAAATATATTTTCTATATTTATAACTTTTAGTACTGGAAAATGCTTTTTAGAAAAATGAGATACATATTTGTTATAATATCATTATGCTACAATGAGAAAGTATTTTTCATAGCTCATATTAGATATCATGAAAAGAACTTTTAAGAATATATTAAATTAACACATATTAGATTTTGATTAATATACATATTATTTAAATTTTGTAAGCATCTAGATATATTAGATCATGGTTTATAGAGGATATTTTGATTTATAATTCATAATTAGGTATAATATATTGTATATATATTTATCTTTAATTAATATTATTGATATACATTATTCATAAATTTAAAATAATGTATGTTATTGCAGTTAGTAGACTAATTATTCTTTGTATGTAAGTTGTTAAAGGAAAATTTGTAATTGTAAAATTTATTATTATAGTTCACAATAATTCAATTTTAGTATTGCATATTTTTTGTAAGCAATAACAAGTAAGAATCAGAACCATGTAAAATTTTTTTTAACTGTTTAATTATTTAATTGTATTAATAGTTTAATTTGGTTAGTGTTAAGGTTGTCTAGTGCATAATTAATATAATATGACTTAGTATTATAAAAAATTATTTAGATCGGTTCTAACAATGAAGTTTAAAGATTAAATTTAGAAGATTGGACTTTAAATTTTTCAAATTAATTAATAAAATCATTTATTAGTAATTAAACTATTTTATATATTGTATAGCTACTTAGCATAATGAACACTTCAGATGTAAATAATATAATATTTAATAATATAAAAGTTTGTTATAAAGAATGTAATGAATAATAATTTTTTTCAGAGAACAGTTTATTTTTTTTTTTGTAACTGTCAATTGATTGCAAAAAGGTAAATCATAATTTTTTTTAGTATTAATAAGGTTGATGTTAAATATTATATAAGAGTTAAGAAAAATCGTTTTTGTGATTGTAAAAATAATAATTTTGGAGTTATCTAAATGATAAAGAATTTTTAACAAATGAGTTAGTTTTTTTGCTTAGAACTTAATGATGTAAGGATAATATAAGATAATTTAATATAATAGAAAATTATGTTAGTGAATATAAAGGTAATTTTTTCTTTACAAGTATAAGATATATTATAGATAAAAATTTTATAGCGAACTTGAATTATAATTGTTTGATAGTTATATTAAAAGCGGTGTTACTTATTTTTTTATTTGATGAAATTAAAGAATGACTAATAATTAGTAAATACCTTTAAATGTATAAACCGAGTTAATTAAAATGGATTAAGATAAATAAGTGAAATTTCATGAAATGGGGAAAAGTATGCAAGTTGCGGTTAAAGTTATTTTTAATATTAAGGCAATAAGTCACGTTGCAATTAATATGCGTTTGTTCTGTACTATAGATGCCTGACGAAACTATTTTTGCTGTTGACGGATTGATGAAACCATAGGTTTCGCCAGTGATAAATTGACGAAACTATATGGTTTCGTCAGGTCACGTGAGTTTTGTCAAGCATCATTATTCTGTACGCAGGTCGGAATTACAGTATATTATTTAATCATCAAATAAATATAAGCTTACTAATAAGTTACTTACTAATATTTATTATACTGAAGGTTAAACATACGTGTGAACAAACTGTATGATAGTAATCAGTGAGAAAGTGGTCACATTTAATATTTCGGAATGATATGTAATGTTGAAGATGAATTCGAAGCAAGAGATAGTACATATTTTGAGCCATGTAGGATATTACAGGTACAACGCAAATGGACAAGGTACGATATTATTATTAGTTGAAGGTTCTTCTGCAGTAAGATAAGATTAAACATGTGTGCCTAAATTGCCTATCTTAATAAAAAAGTAATTACGGCATTTAGGCAGCCGGAATTAGTCTCATATATGCCGAAATTAATTTTTATACATGACGAAATTATTGCTAAAATTTTTTGAACTCTTTTTATCAAAATACATCATATAGTATAGTTATTTCGGAGGGTCTTATATAAAAAGATTAGCAATGCTGAAATGTTTGCTGAAAATACTTTTTTTCAAAAATAATTTAGGCACACATGTATAGATGAGACGATGTTTTGATTTGTAAAACTCTCTCTGGGATTGAGCTTTTTAGCGAGATTGGTTTTATATAAGTAATTCAATATTTGTTTTATTTGCGGAGTTTAAGAACGACTGAGTATTTCAATGAAATAAAAGGTGTTATTATACGAGTTAGCTTTAGTTTTATTTACAGAGAATGTTAATCATGAATATCATGTTACTTATGTTAACAGGGAATATCTTTGGTGTCATAGCTAGAGGTCAGAATCGGTTATAAAATTTAAAACGCAAATTGTTTAAATATGATTATGAAAAAAACCGATTTATGCTAAACCGGATTGGCTTAAACCGAATTTAATTTGAATCGTCGGATAAATATTTAGCCGAAAAGAAAAACCTGAAATTACTTTTTTGTTACAGTATTGTTATTTACACGTAATTTCGGAATTTGATAGAAAATAAAATAAAACCGAAAGCTAATTTAAAAACCGGTTTGTCAGAGGCTTCAACTGAATTAGAACATTACAAAACGATTTATTATTTAAACCGGTTTAACCCGAAGTTGAAGTTGAATTTCATAATTTGGTTCCGACCTCTAGTTGTAGCCATAATAAAATATTTGTTTGTTACGGATTATTTAATATTTAAATTTCGGAACTAAGAATTCTTTTATAACGTTCTTTAATCAAAACTTAAGTGAGTGACTAAATTCAGGCGAAGAGTCAGTTTCGTTTAAATAGAGATTTACTTATGTAATAAATGGAACATTGGATGACGATAAAAATATTATATCAGGTTAGATAAATATATTCAAAGGGTTGATAAGGAAATGGATGGTTAATACGGAGGCGTTCACATATTTTCGCGTATTTTACATTCGTACGAGATGTAATGTACTGTAAGATAAAATATAGAGTTTGGTTAACTATAAAGGAAGCTTGATTAAAAAAATGGGGTTAGTAACACTAAAATATACTACAGATATGTATTTAAGTAAACTTAGGATTAGGGGCGTAAGATAAAATAACATTATTGGCCTATTTTTTAGTTATAGTAGAATTTTGAAGTATAGAATATTTTTATTAGTACATTTTATAATAATAATTAGTAAGTTTTTGAAACATAGCAATTGTAGTAATTAAACATTATAATTATATTTTTGCTAGACTAGATTATAGATTCATATAAAATAATAAAGTATACATAATGAGTGATTATAATAGTCGTATTAAAAGGTTTATATTTAATGATCTATCTATAATGATGAAATAAAAAAGAAATATATGATATTAATACTAAATTGTTCTATTAATGCTAAAAATTTTTTAATTGATCATGTATTAGGTGAAACGTTTAATGGTAAGAGAAAAATAAAGCATATGTGATGAATAAATAAAGGTATATATGATCAGAAGTATTGGAATTGGTACAGTATATTAGTTACGTAAGTACGTAAATATACATCAAATATCTGGCCAAGTTTTTAGTTGAGCTGTTCTTTGTATGCATTCTTCAATATGCATGAGTTCAGCACAGAGTGAAAAAGATCGTTGCATATTTAAAATCGATTCATTGAATAGTTGTAAAATTAATAAGTCATTTAACCTCTGTGCTCTGGAAAGCATTACGTATACGCTATTATTCGCATATTTTCCTGATAGGTCGATGATTGTTTTTTGAAAAGTACGTCCTTGGGATTTAAAATCAGTAAACGCATATGCAGGTGTTAAAGGAAGTTGAAAACACTGAAAATTTCTGTGAATCTTAGATCTATCACGTGTCCAAATTGAGTATACGCAGGCCCGCTTGATAGGATAGATAGGTATGTGATTAGATGGAAGTGTTTCATAAGAACCAGGTTTTTTGCCGGTTATTTCAACAATAACATACTTAGGAGGATCTTTTAGCACTATATTGTTTCCATGCGAAGATGATGTGTTAATTGAATTTTGGTCATACACGATTTGTCGAAGAATTCCTAATGTACCGTTAGCATATTATCATTGGTGCAGATATTAACTGTTAAAATAACTTTCATGTTTATCGATAAGGGTAAAATTCCACAGAGAGAGTTTTCTTTAGTGTCAGATACTGATAAAAATTTCAGACGATTATTCCTGGCAAGAATTTTTCGATTATAAGAGTCCTGCGCACAAGAATAAATGACGGACAGATTATTATCATAGGCATGTTCTTTAACAGCTTCAAGATTAAGCCAAACGCGAAGGTCGTTTTTTGTCACTAGAAAAGTGGCATTTCTCCATTCTCTAGAGTCAATCAAATTATTGCTAAGAATTCTTGATCGTAAGGCCTCTAGTTGAATTTCTGTAAGATTACCATGACGCATATTTTTGAGTATGTTCATATAAAAGGGGTCATCTATTTGACGCATCTGAGTTTTTAGCTGAACTGCATGATTAACATTTAACCAGAGGCTTCTTCCTGTTACATTAGTAACAGTTCGAGAATTAATGTCACGTTTTCACTTTATGCTTTTCGAAGGTTCATTTTCAACAAGAGAAGAAAAACACGTAATTGTATCAGGTATATATAATGCTTTATCTAAAACTGGTGGTAATTGCATGAAATCACCAGCAAATAAAATGCTAATTCTAGCAAATGGAGCAGAATCATCACTCGTTTTTATTTTTTTCGTAAAAGTATGAAATCGTGTAAGAAGATTTTGCCCAATCATAGAAGTTTCGTCTATGATAGCATACTCTATCTTAGACTAGTGTTCTTGTAGCTGGTTTAGATATTCATTCGATAAATTAGAACGAGTGTTTCCATTTTCATCAAAACTGAAACCGCACGCAGAATGGATAGTATTTCCAGATATATTTACTGCTGCATTACCAGTAGGTGCTAAAACTATAGAGAGTGTTACTTTGCAAAGTATGCTCAAAATAAGAGCATATCGCATGAATGACTTTTGATTTACTGGTTCCACTCGCACCAGTAAGGTAAAGTAACAATTGAGAAGGTTTATTCTTGTCCGATTGTTTATTTTTTTGACTATGTTCACAAAATAAGTAATAAGCT